TTCAGGAACGGTCCTTTCACCTTCCAAATCTCACTCTTGAGAAAGTCATATTGCGCAGGAACTGACCATCCTTGTCCAAACTCGCACAGACTGACTGCAACATGCCCTGATGGAAGTCTGCTCATGTTCTGCACGACAGAAAGGCGCACATACGCAATCAGCAAGCTGGACATGTCGATCACTGCACCCAACTGGTCAAGGAAGTATGCAGGAACCAGGCACGGGACCCAACCAGGAACAACCTGCACCCGAAGTATGCCACCGCGACCCCCAATGCCAATCGGGATATACGCCACTTGAGTAATCTCCTCAGAGCCACACACTCCCCGAACGGTACCACCCTTCTCATCTGAGTACTGCACCCGAAGTTGATAATGATGTTGAAGGTAAAGGTCATGCCTAGTCAACGTTTCTCGACCAATCAACCCATGTTGTGCTGCAGTGTCCACTAGAGCAGTACCAACAGCATCGGAGTCACAGCTAGCATAGGTGTAAGACAGGAACGAGAGCATGTATTCCTCGGTGGGCGCAGACTGGTCTTGGTTGATGGCCTTTGCCATTTCTGGTGGATCCTGATCCAGATCCTCCGCTGACGAAAATCCTGTGAACACACTGCTTGCGCCAGGGCAGGCCGCACTGAAAAACTCCTGCCCAGCATCATCCACCTGACGGCTCGGGGCTCCCATGAAGAAAAGGTTTGTCGAAGGCCCACCAGGGCGGCCTTGCGCCGAGTTCTGGTTCATTGGTGGCCTTGGGCTCGACGGTGACGGCACCCTCCTTTTCTGAGGACAGTCCTTGGACCAGTGCCCCAGCTGCCGGCAATTGTGGCATCGGCTGCGGTTTTGTATCTCCTGCAGCGAAGTTCTTGGCCTGGACCCATTAGAGCCAGCACCCTTGCCGTTGCCAAAACCGCGGCTTGTCCGAGCATCTTGAAGAGCTTTCCTGTGGTCAGCGTAGGTGCCGTACACTCCAAAGCCTTTGCCACTTGAGCCCTTGAAGTCCTTTCCTTTGAACTTTCCTTTCCCTTTTCCTTTGCTCTTGCCTTTGCCTTTGCCCTTATGCCAGCGCTCAGCCGCAACCCCGTACACGAAGGACAAGAGCTCCCCCGCATAGGACACGGCCTCGTCCTCGTCCATCATCGCTGGCAAGGGGTCGTCGAGGCAGAGGTACACCGAGCCGTCGGCGTCGTCAACTTCAAGCAGATCTTCGAAGGGATCGGGCTCATCCGACACAGCATCCCCATAGTACACACTGTCCCAGTAGCTCAGGGCGGCCGGGTCGTCATCATCAGGAAGTTCCTCGCCATCCTCTTGCCAGAACGCACGATGACGATTAGCAGCCATCGCCTGGGCCTCGTCCACGGTCTCCCCAAACAGCTTACGGATGGCCTTCTCGACCTTCGGGAAGTCGATCGAGCCATCGGTGAGGACCTTGATGCGCTGCCTCTGGTCCTCGCTGAAGTTCCCCTGCCTCAGCAGGAGATGTCCTAAGAGATGGCTGCCGGCCGGACTGCTCAAAAGATCCAATCCTTGCCGCTTCAACTCACCGAACGCAGCCTTCTTGGTCGCGACGAAGCCACTGAGTGTCTGGTCGCCCCGACGTCGCCCCTTGAAGATCGCCTGGTCAAAGGCCTGCTCCAGCTTAGCGTCTCGTAGATAATCATGAGCATCCTCAATGATTCCAACGATCTTCTCATAGCCCTTCTCAGCCGTGATGTCTTCGACACTAAGATGAGCAAGAAGAGCAGCCAGGCGGCTTCCAAAAGGGATGCCGTCTATGATGCGCTTGCCGATGAGATTGCCGGGGAGGCGCTCGACCGCTTCCACCAGCCAAAGCCGAAGGTTCCGGGAGTATTCCCGGTACTTGGTTTCCGGCATCTCACCGTCCCACGTGGGTGCCGACTCCATCCGGTAGTCCACGAACTTCTTGGCCTGGACAGCCTCGCCTCGGGGGGACAACGATCGCTCCGCTCGTCTCGGCAGCACAGGCGAAGCTATCCCTTGCTGGCTTGCGGCAGCTTGCTCGCCACCATCCACAGTTTCCACCGACGGTGGCGTCGGCATCTTCAAAACTCAGCTGCCAAGCAGCTGCGTAACCACCAAGTCTCAGAACTGGCTTTCACAACCAGCCCTTCTTGGCACAAAGTTAAACTCCCAGCCGGTAGTCGACTGGGTCAAAACTCAAAACTGCCAAAAGCAGCCAGCAAGTGATGTTCACCAGGTCGCCCTCCTTGAGAGCGGAATCAGGTAGTCCCAGATCGGGTAATCGGAAACAAGGCGAAGCACCGCCAGGACAAAGCACCCAGAAGGGAAGAAGCGCAGCTGACAGCCCCGGTCGTCACCGCGGCTCCGCTGCCATGCAATCCGAAGCACACCGGAGGCAAAGCTAAGCCTCTTTTTCCCTGGGCTCAAGGCGCCTGTTGTTCGAGAGGTCAAAGACAGCCGACCGGAAGAGCTTGCCAACACCAACTCTGATGCACAACAGAACACACAAGTCACACAGACTCAGGAAGCCTACAGTTAGTATCACATCCATCAGGGGGTGCATCTGAGGCTGTTGTGACAAGTTCCCTTAAAGGCTCCGGCTGCAACGCGAAAAGTCCGCTAATCATGACCTTCCGCATCAAAGTGGAATTTCCCACTCGCTTCGTGAGACAGTCCGCGATCATGTAGATGCCCGGGATCCAGTAGACTGGAGCTTTGAGAACTTGTGCAGAGGCAGCGATCACTGACACGTCCACTTGTGCTCGACGGCATAGGCCAGCAGCACCAGAGCGCCTGTGAAAGAGATCATACAACGCTCTCGCGTCAGTAATCATCACGCTTTCCAGCTCATCGCGCTGACGAGCAATCATCACCGAGTCCAGTTCTGGTCCGAAACGGCTTCCATCGCAGACCGTTGAGCCGGGCACGCAGGATTCGGAGAAAAGGGCACGCAGCCATTCGAGTTCCGCGAGCCCATCATCGAGGGCGAGCGCTTCCGATCCCAAAGATGCCTTAACAACTCTCCTCAAGCGGTGCGATTTCCAGCTGTTGATGCTGAACTTTGCGAGCGCACCGTCCTTGATCGACTTCTCCACGAAGGCGACCACAAAGCCACCTTGAGACTTTTCCAAGTCGTTGGCCACTGAAGCATCGCTCACTGATGCCCATATGCCATTCTCCAGAGGAATCGGGAGGATTCGGAGATAGCAGTCACTTGTCCGTTTGAGCTCAGCAATCGTCTTGTTCACTTGTTTCACATGTGAAATTCTCGGACGACCACTTCCCCACGACATGGCCATAGAGCAGGCGCCAGCCACATCAGGGCGAGCTTCCTTGCCCACCCACAGAAGACTTCCGCCGGCGCCACGGAGCATCGTCACCTCTTGTTCGGTCAACTCCTCGTCGTCACCAAGCCGAAGGCGATCACGTGGTAATCGGATTGGCTGAAGCTTTTCCTCCACGTACCTTTTCATGTCTATGCGGATCTCATAGTCGTCGAGTTGGCGCACAGTACGCCCGAGGTATTCGGCATGGCCTCGATACACAATCCGCCACTTTCCGAAGCGGAACCTTTCCTTGAGCTTCTCCATCAGGCCTTGGTGTCGCCGATTTCCACCCTGGGCGAAATCATCCACGTCAAGAAGGACTAAGCCAGCACAGCCAACCTTGCCCGCACAGGTAACTTTATCACCACGGCCAACTTGTTCAGCACGGTCAACTTGTTCAGCACCGTCAACTTTGCCATCATAGCCACCCTTGAGGCCCTCAGTTTTCTCCGATGCGTCATATGGCAAAATGAAAAGGCAGGGGTCGTATATCGACTCGTGATAGCCGAGAGAGATGAGGACCTTCCTCACCGTCCGACGCCAGGAAGCTGGAGCGTTCACCAACCCATAAATGGCAGTGAGTATCTCCACCAACATCCATGGCTCCTTCCCAGGTATGCCTGAGGGAGGCAAACTGGCGTACAAAGGGCCTTGGCTCCTGGTTTCGGCATCAGACTGTCCGAAAGCCGATGTAACGTCCATAATCACCAACTGGAAACCCTGCGATGCTATCAGTTGAAAAGCCAGGTGCACCGTTGGTCCGGATGGTGTCGGGCTGAAACGCTCCATCTCCAGAGCATCTGGATCTCGATGGCCGAGGAGGATCCACCTTGCCTTGGCCTTCCAGTCTTCACCCAACTCCTGAGCTTTCTTTGTAAGAACAAAACGTGACGGCATGATTCGATGCCCCAATTCTTTCCTGATCCGCTTGGCCTCAGCGGGATCATCGATGAACCGGATGGAGTTCCCATTCTCGAGAACAGTAATCTCCTTGACCTTAGCCTCGTCAAACATGCGACGCTCAACATCCGTGAAGTTCTTCTCGTTCAACTCCTTCCCGCTCTTCTTGGTGAGGTACACATAGGACCCATAGATCTGGTGGTGGTCGTAGACGATGTCCGCCTCGGCAGTCTTGGAGAACAGCTTCAAGTCGCGGCCGTTGGCGATGGGAGGGAAACATGATCGATCCCCATGTTCAGTCCTCATGTCAGCCGCCCAAGAACCAAACACCTTTGATTTCTGAGGAGCTGAACCACCTTCACCACCAGGGTCATCAAGACTCCGCTTGATGCGCTTATCAACCAAGCGCTCATCCTCATTGGTCGGTTCGTCATCCAGCTCTGGTCGATCTGGATCAGAAAGAGGAACTCCAGGATCAGGGTGACCTGAAACTCGCTTGTAGACCAAAATGGTCTTGATAGACCCAATTTTCTTTGGCAGAGGCTTGTGAAGGTCACGGGAGCGCTCATCTCCTTTGATATCTTCACGACGAAGAACTCTTCCAGACGAGTTGTCCACAGTGATCCGTTGCACCACATCACACCACATTGGTCCCTGAGCATTCGAAGTACGGTATCGGTTCGGATTCTGATCATATCTGATCCACTTTCGCAACTGAGTTCCACTGCCTGCTGGGGGCCATTCAGCTTGTCCTGAGGGAGCCCTTGGAGTAGTTGACGTCGAAGAACTACTGGATGACGACACATCATGTTGCCGAGACCCACCTGAACTGGAGCTAGAAGACTTACTTGATGACCCACCTGAACTGGAGCTAGAAGATACAACAATCGGTACCACGGGATCCGAAACTGGGATTTCTGCGGGTTTTCCTCGCACATCATCTAGTCGAACTTGTTCTCGATCAGTGCCTCCATCAGGGGGTACTGGCGGATCCGAAACTGGGATTTCTGTGGGTTTTCCTTGCACATCATCTCGTCGAACTTGGCCTCGGTCAGACTCAGGTTCTGACTTGACTTCATCCAACAGCTCCATTTCTTGACTGACGTCCTTGTACATCATCTTCTCTGAGTCATACTTAAGACTGGCCTTGGCATGCAGTAGTTCCGCAGGAATCGCTTCAAGACCAGCTCGATCTGCATTTCCCATCTTGAAAACTTGAGCAACATTGCACTTCCACAACTCGCCGCGCCGGGTCACCCACACTGTGTGACCATTCTGCAACACGACCCAACATGGGCCCACCTTGGCGGTGCTCCCGCGCCGCCCCATTTTCCACACCAGAACTGGCTCACCCTCTTCAAACTGGAGCTTGTTGATCTCTTGTCTTGGACGAGCTAGTCTGGCCCTGGCCACTCGAGAGCGGGCATCGACCTCAATTAAAGCCTTGCGAGCTGCAGTTCGCAACTCGTGGGCTCGTTGCCACGCGGCATCAGCCGTGGGACTGATGTTGAACTCGCCACCATCTGCCAGTGAGTCCAGAGCCACCTGTAGTTGACGGCCAAAGACTCGTTGAGCAGGGCTGTAACCAGACCGATTGGTCAGCGTCTGAATAGCCCAGCTCACTTCGTAGATGAGCATCTCGGTCTCCGCAAAGTCCAATGGTTGTCGTAGCTCACGTGTGCGGTAG